TCCTTTCTTGGGCTATCTGCCTCTGCCTGTCCCTTCTTTCTTCTGACTCTCATTTCTTCCTCTTTTTGTATGTGGTGACGAACTTCTCTTAGGTGGGGCCTATAACAACAGTGGGTTTATGTTCTCCATGTTGTATGCTAACTGGAGGAATACACTAAGGCTGGTTTGGAGGGGACTACATATGTCTCGCTATTGCTTTCCTGCTCACTGGAGTTCTTGAAACAGGCACCGAGACTTATTATTTTCAATGTTACAATTGTTATATTTTCTTCTGCTATAGAAAATAACACTGATGGGTCATCTTCAGGATTGGAGCCCATACACTATATATAGCAGTTACTATGTATAATAGCTGTTTCATAACGGATGTTTGTATACCATTTGTATTATACCAAGTTAAATAATTGCTCGTTCTGCATTGGGTTTTCTGATTGTATTTCATGTGTTTTTGGATGGCCATCAAGGCAAAAAATAAAGAATTGAATAAATTTTTTTGATATTTTACAGTTTTTTTTTTTATTGATTACCATCCTGTAGCTCCCATCACTGTAATAATTACCTTTTAAGGTCTCCACTTTTGAAAACAGAAGCAGCAAAGCAGATAAGCAGATTATGTTGTTTGGTCTTCATTTTTGCCCTATCATTTAAAACCTGGCTTTCAGCAAGACTATTATTTATTTCTTTGGCCGTTTTAGCAGAGCACAGCTCTCAGATCCCATCACACTTTGCAGAAGGTTCTATCATTATCACAAGAGGAACACTCATTGAGCTGTTCGCTAAAATGGAGGCTGGTCCGTAGGGGCGGGTGGCATTGTAAGGAGAACTGATAATGTGTGCTAGAAAAACATGTCTGTCATGATTGTATCTGCAGTTTCCATTCTTCCCTTTATTGATGACTGGAGGATCAGCTGGTTTTGAACGAACAATGTATGGCATCTCATGTGGTCAAAGCCCATCAGGTTGGGTGTGTGTGGGGCTGGCATCACTCCATTTTTAAACTTCACCAGCCAGCACTGCACTACAGTAAGAATTCAAAGTGAATTTCAAATTCAAGGTATATACTTCCAGTTCATATACTTTAGCCTTAAATTTGAAATTCAAATAACCCTGAATGTCTGAGATACTAACTAATCAATATAGATTGTAAGTGGAATGCTGAAAGCATGCCTGCTTGTGTATATAAATATAAGAATGCTGGTAAAATAACCCATTGCAAGACTGTAGGGCATTACCCGTTCTGTAGACCAGTGGTTTCCAACCTTTTTTCACTTGACTACCCCTTGGCAGACCATTTCCATAAATTGTACCTCTCATACAGGTTGTCCTCACTTTTCGACCTACCTGCTCAGACTTACGAACAGCTCTTTAGCGTGGGGATTCGAAGGAGTCCCTGAGCTAGTGAACTGGTCTATGTTTGGGGGAATTCCCCTGAACATAGACCTGCTTTCTAGTGCATGCTCTCTAGCGCATCCTCACTTACCAACCAATTCGTTTTACGACTGAGTCTTAAGAACGTAACCCGGTTGGCAAGTGAGGACTGTCTGTATTAGCTTGTAATTAATATACTTGCTGTTATTTCACATTTATACATTTTTCTCTTCCCCAGATGCCCCTGCCTTTCCTCTACCTATGGCTTCCCCTGCTCCTCCTTTGGCCCAACGTTAGATTGCAAGGGTATATTTGCATTCAGTGTTGACGTTTACACGCTGGGATGTATGCACATATACACATACACTGCCACATACATACACAGATATACATACACATTGACCACACATACACTGACATACACATATAAACACAATGACACAAATAGATACACACAGTGACACATACACACTTACACACAGATGCACACACTGACATATAGACTCACACACAGACATACACACTCAAATACACAATCACTCAAACACAGACACATACACAAGAGGCACACACTGACATACACATGCACAAATGCACACACTGACACATATACACACACATACACACAGACTGACACATCCACACATAGATGTGCACCCTACCATATAAACACACACACTCATGCAAAGATATACACACACAGATACATACACACAGACAGACAGACACACACACACACACACACAATCACACTTACACACACATGAAATAATTTTACCCATCCTCCTGTTAACATATATTTTATGTGCAGTAGGGTGTCTTCATTGGGGCTCTCGTTATGGGCATCCGCAGGATTTTTTCCAGGGGGGGGCATAATTGTAATGACATCCATGCTTGGTCCCTTTTTAACAGTGTCATGAAAGGGAAGGGGCATAGACATTATCACATAATGCCAGAGTGAATAGCGTTTTCACAACTATGGTGTCAGGTACATGTTTGTATTCCTGACACTATAGTGTTCCTTTAAGCAAATTCTGGTCACCATAACAACTTCATCTAAATGAAAATGCTATGATGCCAGGAAGCCCCTGGGTGCTCTCTTTTCTTTAAGACCGGTCTCAAATGGTTTAACCCCAAAAGCTTCCTCCAGCTCCAGATCTCTCAGTGGTATTTGGCTTCTGAAACGGAGTGTCAGGAAGTGCAGATTGACGTCAGGCATGGGTGCTGCAGATTGGCTAGAGTGGTCAGTTGACGCTATAAGCCAATTATGAATGGGGAGCTACTGATTGGCTTAGGGTGCCAGCAAATCAGCGCACCCCTACCCGGCGGCACTCCTCAGTAAATAAAACTGAACACATTAACACTGATATTTTTTTTTACCTGGGAAGATGAGAAGATCCAAATGCCAGTCCCAGGTACCAAAGCCTTATGATGTGGTGTCCAGAATAAAGTGGAGAGTTCACTTCACTTGTCCTTCCTGCTCCAATCTCCTTTTCTTCTCCTTCATCCTACACAGTCTTCTTTTTCTTCTGACACTGTCTTCTCTCCTCCTTGGCTCCTTCTGCTCCTTTACCTTTCTGCTACTTCCTGCCTATTTTGCTCCCCCTTCTTCTCCTTTCTTTTTCTGATCACTTTCTGCTCCTTGCAGACCCTTTCTGCTCCTTCTCCTACTTTACCTTTCTGCTCCTTGCTGTCCCTTTCTGCTCTTTGCTACCCTTTTCTGCTCCTTCTCCTACTTTACCTTTGTGCTCCTTCTGATTCTTTCCTCTCCTTTACCTTTGTGCTCCTTCTGTCCCTTTCTGCTCTTTGCAGACCCTTCCTTCTCCCTGCAGACCTTTCCTGCTCCTTGCTGCCCCTTCCTGCTCCTTGCAGACCCTTCCTGATCCTTGCTGACCATTCCTGCTAATTTCTGGCTCTCCTACTGGCTGAGTCTGATAGGAGTGTTGTTCTTGGGCTGTCACTGTTCTTGCTTCTCCCCCCCTCCCCCCACTCCTTTGCCTACTCTCCCTCCCACGTGGCTCTCTACCTGTATCTGTGAGAAAGTGATATACACTCACTTCCTCTCAGAATCAACAAAGGCCCTTTTCAGAATATCATCAGGTGGCCTAGACACATAGGGCCCATCAGGTAATCCTTCTCTTGTGTTGTTATCCCAACCATTTAGGGCCACCTGATGGGCCCAACCAGTTTGCATGCCTGGTGCAGTTGCATCAGCGGTAGCTTGCTGCTGGTTCCGCAATTACAGAATTAACAATGGGAACCACTGTCACAGTGCACTGTTGAAATTCTGGAGGCCCTCATATGGCACTGAGTATTTGGTATGGCCCATATTATGCCTGAAAGAGTTATAGGTATATTATTATATAGCTCATTTCCTGCCCATCCACCAACACAAGCATCTGAATGGAAGGTGGCATGCATAAAAAGATGTATGCCACCTTCCATGCATAAAAAGACAATGTGCAGTAAAACAGTGAACCTATAAAGATAAATAGCTATCTGCTCAGGGTAAAGTCCTTTGTATGTGGACTATTGCAACTATCCTATCAGAAGAAACAGAACACACTCATCAAAGTTTTGTTTCTTCCTATCTTTGCTATTTGTTCTGGAATCCACAGTTTGTTTATTGGCAAGAAGAGGAAGGGAAGGTATAGATATATTAAATAAAATGAAGAGAAAATTTAAAGTTGTGATTCCTATTTTTTTTTTTTGTGCGGGGGGAACACATTTTACTAAGAGAAACAAGGTACACCTACATTTTTATCTAAATTGTATACTTATGAATGGAACATTTACTTGCATTCTTACTAGAGAGCCGTAGTTCACTGTTTAGTGACTATGGCCCTAATCATATGCACCAGCTTATGATGTAATGAAGTCTAAAATTGCCCTATTCCCATTATGGCTTCCCATATTACTTGCCACAATTCTCTTGCTTACCTTTACCTTGGGTGCTTCATGTGGACTATGGATTCATGTAAACTAAAGCATTTCATCCCAGTATCAATTGCCCATCTTCCCTTCTGCCATCTACATGTCACATACCAACTTTCTATTCTGATTAAATTACTCCTACTAAATTACTCCATCAACCCTGTGTCACATGCCTCCCAATGACGTACCAACTCTCTCAACATATCAATTGCTCACTTCCATATCCCCTTGTCATATATCCACTATTTATACATCTAAATACATATTTATTTATCTATCCATCCATGGTCCATCCATTCATCCCTTAATGATAGCAAGCCCTACTTCCCATATCAAAACAGAAAACATATATCTATTTTCTAGTTTTTCCTATAGGAGTTAAGTTGGGTGCCATCTAATGCTTTGAAATATGTTTACCATTCTTGGGAAATCAGACCCCGTGCCAAGTAATTATTACATTTATTTTCTTTCTGCTTCTGTCAACAATTCACATTTTCTGCCTCCCATATTGCTGTGATATATCTAAGAATTAGAATATTTATAGGCCACAAAATTTTTTTTTCATACATCAATAAATGTAAGGAAAAAAAACTGGACAGATCCCAACTACAAATGCCAACTTAGTAAGAGAAACTATTCCACACAGTGATGATTTAATTTATTTATTGCTATGGAAATAAACATTCAAGATGTTCTTTCTTGGAAAACCATTGTATGTCTTCCTCAATGCACTAATACACTAATTTGAGCAAACCTTATCCTATGAACATTGGTGTTATACTCAAACATTACACATAAGAAACATTTTACAGTACATAAAATCAGTCTGGCGGCAGCATTCATTACAGACTGTAGCGGGGCCATACGGCTTTTGGGAAGACCAATTAGGAGAGGGTTACAATAATCCATGCGGAAAATTACTAGAGCATTGACAAGCTCTTTGGTAGCATGATGCCAAGACAGCGCATTTGCACGAATGGACTTATGTGAATACCACTTATTTCAAGGGAGAGCAAAAGAGAAGGATACGTATTAGGCGGAGGAAAGACAAGGAGCTCAGTTTTAGAGAGACTGAGTTTGAGAAAGCAGGAGGACATCCAGTCAGAGATGGAAGAAAGGCAAGCAGTGACACGTTGCAGGAGGGCAGGGGAGAGGTCCGGGGAGGAGAGATATATCTGGGTATCATCAGTGTACAGTTGGTACTGAAATCCAAAAGAGGTAATAAGTTTGCAAAGAGAGGTAGTATAAAGAGAAAATAGAAGGGGACCAAGGACAGAGCCTTGGGGGACTCCAACCAAAACAGGACGAGGGGAGGAGGTATCATTAGAAAAGGAGACGCTGAATGAGCGTTGGGAGGGATAAGAGGAAAACCATGAGAGGACAGAGTCACGGAGACCGAGTGTTTGAAGAGTTTGAAGGAGAGCATGATCAACGGTGTCAAAGGCATCAGAGAGGACAAGAAGAATTAGTATGGAGTAGTGAACTTTGGATTTAGCTGTGATTAGGTCATTAGTAAATTGGATAAGAGCAGTCTCAGTAGAGTGGAGGGGGCGGAAGCCAGATTGAAGAGGATCAAGGAAAGAGTTGTAATTGAGGAAGTGAGACATATGGTTAAAGACAAGTCTTTCCAGAGTTTTTGAGGAGAAAAGGAGCAGGGATATGGGATAATAGAGGGGGAGGACAGGTCAAGAGAGGTTTTTTTCAGGATAGGTACTACAGTGGCATTATTAAGGTCAGCAGGGACAACGCCAGAGAGAGAGCAGTTGAAGATGTGTGTTAAGGAAGGCGCAAGACAAGGGGAGAGAGATCTGATAAGGTGAGATGGGACGGGATCAAGCGGACAAGTGGTGGGGCGGACAAGTGGTGCGCTGTATGAACACAATATGAATCTATAATGGAGAATGTCTGACTGGGTGCGAGACTTCCTCCAGGAGCGTTCCACACAATGGGAGCATCTTTGCAGGTAGAGTGTTGATTTAGTTTGCCACGGTTGGGGGGCGTGCCCTCCTCGAGGTGCATTTTGCAGAGGTGAGAGTAGTGTTATATGTAGAGATGGCCAGTGAGGGGCAGGAGAGAGAAGGGATGGATAGCAGTTGTGAATTAATATCAGCTGACAGCTGCTGGAGGTCAATAGAATTAAGGTTCCTCCTGAGTTGAGGGGGGTTAGGATGAGGTTGTTAGGTGAGGGGGTACTCGAGAGCAAACGATAAGAGGTGGTGATCAAAGAGAGGATATGGAGTGTTGCGGATATTAGACACTGTACATGCATAAGAGAAGATGAGGTCGAGGGTATTGCCAGCTACATGGGTATTAGCCCACTGCGATAGCCAGAGGGAGGAAGTAATTGAAAGTAGTTCAGAGGCTGCTGAGGTCAAAGGTGGGTTAATGGGAATATGGAGGTCCCTGAGAATTAGGGATGGGATATTATAAGAGAGGAAGTAGGGTAGCCAGGCAACAAAGTGGTCAAGGAAGAGGAGAGGGGAGTCAGGGGGCGATAAATAACGGCAATGTAAGCAGAGAAGGGTTTGAAAAGGCGAATCAAATGAATTTGGAATGATGGGAAAGAAAGGGCGGGAGTGGGTAGAGATTTGGGTAGAGATTTGAAGGAGCAGTGAGATGAGAGGAGAAACCCTACATAAAGAATGAACATAAAATAAAAAGGTGGGAGGTGGAATAGAACACAATTTTAAATTAAGAAATAAAAGGAAACAATACGTAGAACTGGAATTCTTTAATAGATCTTCCAAAGATGATACCTCTGCTTAGAAGATTCAGCAGGGTTTGGTTGCTTGTGAGTACAGGGTGTAGTTATTCAATGCTGTTTTTGGGGGCCAGCTCTCTGCTTAGAAGATTCTGCAGGGCTTGGTTGCTTGTGAGTACTGGGTTGTGGTGAAACCAACCTCGCCACTGTGAACTGGAGAAGCCTGGTTGCTCGCCTGCTCCCTTTGGACTATGGCCCTGCAGGTTAAACCGTTTATTTCCCCTGCAGAAAGGCTTATTTGTGGGATCTGAGTGCCATTCATCTAATAATGTGCACTCAGATCCCAGCTATCTGGGGATATGTGAAATGTCTGTGTGTTATGTGTAAATGTGACTTTATGTATTTTAAAGTGTTTTGTGTCTTTTTGCAACCATGTGCTTAATGGAGTCTTGTGTCTGTCCTGGGAGATAATTGAATTACTCTCCAGGATAGAAGACTCTGAAACTGGTTTGGGCCAGAAAGCCATGCTTCATTTAGTCACAAAGGACTTTCCTTAACTTTTGAACCCCTGGTCTGATTCGTGCCATTTTTTAATATGTTGTTCCCCTGAATGGATTGATTATGAAAATGTATGTTTTATGTTTGTGACATGTATATTTTAGAAGTTATAAATATTGTGTTAAAACTGTATTCCTCTGCCGGTGATAATGAGATTACCCATTGTGTTCAGTAATCATATCACCTGCAGAGGAAGTGTTGTTTTATAACGCCCTGTGGGCTGTACTATGTTTGTGGATTGGGAATAAAAGAGACTGTATGTGACAGTACAGGAGATTCTGCTTGACCCTCAAACTGATGTGTCGTCTCGTTTTTGGGGGGAATTGGATTGTATGCTGACTGCCAGGAGTGTAAGCGGATTGTATGCTTTTCCTGTTCGGCTGATTCCAGTGTTCGTGTGTTTCCAGTTCGAGAGTTGGTGAATTCGTACAGTTTGCAGTTCGGGAGTTTGGTGCTTGCAGTAGCTGCTGGTCTATGGGAAAGGGGATTATCGCCTAAACGGTTTTTATCCTCTTGTTTGAGAAACGGTCCGTTACATGGGTGTAGTTAATCAATGCTGTTTTTAGGGGCCCAGTGTGTGCTTAGAATATTCTGCAGGGTTTGGTTGCTTGTGAGTACTATGTGTAGTTAATCAATTTTGTTTTTAGGAGCCCAGTCTCTGCTTAGAAGATTCTGCAGGGTTTGGTTGCTTGTGAGTACTGGGTGTAGTTATTCAATGCTGTTTTTGGGGGGCCAGTCTCTGCTTAGAAGAATCTGCAGGGTTTGGTTGCTTGTGAGTACTGGGTGTAGTTAATCAATGCTGTTTTTAGGGGCCCAGTAGAGATACTGTATGATCAGAGGAGACGCCACAACTTAAAAAATAAGGGGCATCCCTGCAGATGTAAGCATGGATGAAATGCTGCACTACATCAGGTTACAGGTTCTCCGAACCAAAGAAATGACCTATCACTGGGGAGTTCCTAGAATGTTACTGTTCACCCACCAGGCACAGAACCTCCAGGACCTAGAAACCACTATGAGTATCCTGGGCCTCATCACAAGCACCGGTGCTCAAGATACACACCTGGAAAGTCTGGGCATCTTCAAGATCCCTATATTCCAGCCTAGACCACCCACAGTCACTTGACGGACTCCCAATGTGAAGCTCCCAGACGGTGGGAGTGTACCTCACTGAGACTGCAAAGTCATGGAGACTCTGGTACAATTTGCCTGTACACCACTCTTATTGTTTTTTTAGTTCTTTTTTCTCTCATTTTATACCGTTGTTGGCTCATTTTATATCTTTAGTAAAAAAAAAAATTATTTTTCATATCCAGACCCTAACATGGACTCTATCCAGATATAATTTTACAAAACCGGTTTAATTGTGTCCTTTATCGCATATCTTAAAGCCCACTCTTGAATACCCAATTCAGTGTACAATGGAGGGTACGGCTTCTCTCTGAAACTCTCCCCTCCCCCCCTCACTTGCTTTTCCCATACCTCATGGAGGTTATCATACCAAGAAGAAGGTAATTGCTCCTTGTAATTCAAACACAATGCCTTACTAGTGCCTCATTCTCTGAGTACAAAACCCAAAATTCTCTCTTCACTATGTAACAGATTTCGAATGTGCTGTTTTAATTTCTGCTCATGTCATGTATATTATGTTGATACTGCTGTTTCTCTTCTTTTTTTTTTTTTTTGCTCACAAGTGAAGTGAGAAACAAATAAAGAATTTAAAAAAATAATAATAAAAGGAATGGAACATTTTAGTTATAAAGAAATGTTAACAAATTTAAATCTGTTTAGTTAAGAAAAATTGCATATAATAGTATTATACAAATACATTTGGGGGCTAATACAAACCATTGTCTGGAAATCTATTCATAAACAGGGCTATACATAGGCCACAAGGCCATGCATTATGCATTTAGACTGGAAGAAAGGAGATTTAGTCTAAGGCAAAGGAAAGGGATTTTTACTGTAAGAACAGTAAGGATGTGGAATTTTCTGCCTGAAGAGGTGGTTTTAACAGATTCTATACAGATAAATCGTTGCAAATATTTAATATTCAGGGATATAATTTTTAATTAGTGGGGGTAATAGCTTCTTTATTCAATAAGAGATCTGACTGCCATTCTGGTGTCAAGAAAGAATTTTATCCTAGTTTGATGCAAAATTAGAAACCGTGTTTTTTTTTGTTTTTGTTTTTTTTTTTACTTCTTTTGGATTAACAGCAAAAACAAATGTGAGAAATGTTAAACTTGATGGACACATATCACTTTTCAGCCTGTGTAACTATGTATATTTATTACGTGGTATATCTCTTTTGCTGTGAAAACCACTCTCAATGCAAATGTATAACTTTCCATGGAAAAGGATAGAAACTGATTTGCCAATTTCTATTCAGCAATTTGTGAACATAATTTAGGGATACATTTCTAACATAATTCCTATGCCTACTTGGAATGGCCAAGCATCATGATAGCTGTAGCTCTATGATAGAATATTAACAATGAAAACATTTTCGTCATCTGCAAATTCATTTTTTTGCCTTGTTGAAGCATTCGATGCATGGTGTTAGTGCACCAGTACTGTGTGTGTCTTATAATGTGCTCACAATGTGATAGCTGTGAATGCTTCCATAGTGTATGTGCATGTAGGACATCAGGAGACAAAATTGGGATGACAGCACAGGAGTTCCAAATCAGGACTGTCCCACTGAAATTGGGGCTGGGAGACATGTTGCACCGCTCTATTTTACATCCTACAAATGAATTCTCACATCTGAGATAGCATTTATGCTACTGCTATACTGTTGCAGAAATACAACTCCCATGAGGCTTGGCCAGCCTAGAATTAATATTGTAGGCAGTTCTCCAACAGATGGAGGTCTGCCTACTGTCCATACTTGGAGGTTGAGAGAGAGATAGGGCTGAAATAGATATAATTATGTGAGAAATATTTAGGAGAAAGAGAGACAGAGAGAGACAGAGATATGTGGCAGGGAGAGACAGTTACCCGAGAGTGACTGTGCCGGTAGACATATGTAGCTGGGATAGAGAGATTTTGGGTTGGGTGGGAGAGAGAATTAATAACATGTTTTGTGGTTAAGAATGACATGATGACTCTTGCCGTTGGTATTACATGTATCTGAATATACTATTGAAAGTGAATAAAAATCTAAATTAGGGAAAACAGCACTATTATTAATGAATATGTAATGGCATGTCACTCTAATGAACATAACACAATTACAAGCTTGCTCAAAAAGTTCTCAACATTGTAACAACATTTGCATTGTTTATGATGTTTTTAACATATTTGTCTCAACTGGATTGTGTTAAGTTGCTTTAGACATTGTCTTTTATTAATTGGAATTTACAATTTGATACATAATGACAAAATTGAAACAAATCTAATTAAATCATTGACAGGTATTACAACAATGACAGAAAAAAAGCAGAATTATAAAAAATATAGACAAAAATTACAGCTTTTAAAAAACAAACTGCATCTCTAGCTTGGCTGAACTGGAGAGTTTTTCCAATTTCTGCATTTTATTCTGATTTGCAATCTGGTCGGTCTTAAATCATTAAGCACATATGATATACATGTTTAATTGTGTAGATCAGTTGTGCCACCATAAGTTATAATTCAAGGTTCCCCTAAATCAGGAGAAGCCAACAGCCTACAAGTGACAAATCAGCATATCAGATAGGCAAGATTATTTATTGAGTGAATAGTTTGAATTTCAATCTGATTTTAACTCATTGACCCAAATAGCTGAATAAGAAATATAACCGATTCTGAGAATGTCTACAATTTGGCTGGTGAAGCCAAGAATGAATTCACAACATTTTGCACTTTGAGGAAAATCCTCTTAGTTTCACAGCATCCAAACCAGTCCTCAAGACATGGCAACAGTCCAGACATTTTCCAGAGATGTTCCTGTGTGGAATAGGAAACATCCAGTGTGTCTTTAGGACTGGGGGATGAATTCTCTTAGCAGAGTAAGGATTTACTTGGCTTGTTGAATAGTAATTCCTCTACTGACATCTATAGTTAAATTGCTATTCAGTAAGCAGAGTAAATCCTTATACTGGTAAGAGAATCCAGTGCTGGTTTGAGAATCACAGATCTAGGGTTCATTCAGAAAATAGCAGCTGCAAGCTGTCGCTATTAATAATAGCAGGTAGCTTGTATGAGCTACAAATTACCACCTTAAGATTTAGAACCTTCTTGCTAAATCTGTGTAGCCTATTGCTATTAACAGCTGCTGCTACAGATACTAACCATCATAAGGTGGCACGGGCAGCTGCCTTAGAGCTCACGGGCGCTGGAGGCGCAATGTCTGGGTGACCAGCAGGAGGGGAGCACACAGCACAGGGCGGCCCCTCCTGCCAGTTACTTCATATAGCTTTCAGACATGTGGCCGTGCGGACCATGGTAGAGGATCTTCTGTTTCCTCTAGCCGGTCTGACAGGAGGCTACTTGTTGCTCTCAGTGAGCACTTCCTGCAGACCGCGTACAGCAGTGTTCCCTAACCCAGTCCTCATGGACCACCAACAGTCCAGGTTTTGTCAGTATTTCCATTGGAATAAAACAGGGACACATAAATCCTGGACTGTTGGTGGTCCATGAGGACTGGGTTGGGGAATACTGGCATTGAGGATACAGAAGATCATGCGGCCACACTACAAGGAAGGAGGTGAGCAGGCACAGGAGGGGAAGCGACCACAAAGAGCTACACATTGGGGCTGGAGCAGGGTTAAAAGAGACACACATATTGACTGGGAGGGGAGGGGGAAAGGGACTCACAGGCGTTTGGGAAGACACAAAGAGAGGTTGGGAAGGAGAAAAAGATAAAATGAAGGGGCTTGGGAGGAACAGGCACAGAGGGACTGGGGGAGAAAGAGAACACAGGGGCTGGGGTGACATAAGAGACATACAAGAGGGTGTAAGACACACAAAGGGAAAAAATTGGTATAACACACTAAAGGGGATGTAAGACACAAATGGGGATAAGATACATTAAATGGCGAAAGACATTCAAAAGAGAGGTAAGAAACACAAAAAACGATAAGAAATTAAAGAGGGGGTTAAGAGACACAAAGGTGAATATGCATTGTTTGTTTGGAGGTGGGGGGAGGGGGCCGCAAAATGCAACTTTGTCTGTGTGTCACTTAAACCCATCTTGAATTTCTTACCCCTTTTTGTGTTTCTTAGCCCCGTTTTTGAATGTCTTATCCCCTTAAGTGTGTCTTATCCCCCACCTATACCTGCGCACCCTGTGTGCCAAGTAGCGACAGGCAAGTGGTGACAGGCCAGCAAAAAGTAGCGGCTGGGGTGGAACAGGATTTCTGGGTACAATACAATATAGAGAGATTTAACTGTCATCAAAGAATTTTGGTAGTTAGACAGCTCACTGGTAAAAAAGTAGCTAAGAGTTGTAAACCAGTCAGGAAACAGTTGCTAAGAAGAGGGCAATGGCTCCCATAAAAGTAATGTGAGCCATTAGCCACTGCTTCGTGACTGGCTTTCAGCAGTAGCAGTTGGTAAACAATGACTATTCGATAAAAGTAGCAACAGGCATGGTAAGGGGCTGGTCACTGAAAAGTACTGACAGTATTGTAAACAAGCCCCTAGAGAACTGCCTACTGACTACCCCAGCAGGTAAGTATTATAATTATGAGTATTAACTTTTAGGGATTTGAACCCATTTATATATACATGAACTAAATAATTTAGCTTGCTATTCTGACACAGGTGACAGTTTTAAGCTTTTGGTTTGGATTTTGCATGTTGGTCAAAGAAGGATCCTCAAATGATTCTTCCTCATCCTAAGAGCAAGCAGCAATATAAGAACACACAGTATGTATCACACTCTATAAAAATGCATACAGAGCATTTATTCTGCAATAAAATAGGCTAATACCGCAACACAGGGATATGATAGAAACATTTAAATATATAAAGGGAATCAACACAGTAAAGGAGGAGACTATATTTAAAAGAAGAAAAACTACCACAACAAGAGGACATAGTCTTAAATTAGAGTGGAAAACGTTTAAAAATAATATCAGGAAGTATTACTTTACTGGAGGGTAGTGGATGCATGGAATAGCCTTCCAGCTGAAGTGGTAGAAGTTAACACAGTAAAGGAGTTTAAGCATGCGTGGGATAGGCATAATGCTATCCTAACTATAAGATAAGACTAGGGACTAATGAAAGTATTTAGAAAATTGGGCAGACTAGATGGGCCGAATGGTTCTTATCTGCCGTCACATTCTATGTTTCTATGTTTCTAACACAATATTAACATTATTAAGCTAATATTGATGGACTTTAGTCAGTTTTGCAGTCTGATACCCTTAGCCAAGCAGCTATAAACGGTCACATTTTACAAATAAGTTGTAGCCTCTCGGCTCTCTCTTTCTTTAGCTTGTGCAACTGCAACATTGATGCACTGCAGCCATTCTTCAGCGTTCTTTTCATCTTTGGCCTTAAAAACATATGTTTTATTGTCTGTGAAGATCTCAAAAGCACGGGGGAGACTGCGATCCCTGCGTTTCTTGGTCACTGCTTTCACACTCTGAACTTTGCTCAGCTCAATTGGGCAATCATCAGGATCGTCCTTCTGAAACGACAGCAATAGCAATGATGTGCATTAGTTTTTGAGGTCTGAACTTATGAAATCAGTAGTTGAAAAAGAGAGCATTTGGAAACGGCTTTTGACATCCCATGTAAGCTGTCTAATTGTGAAAATCATCTTCTCGTGACATTCCAGCAGCATGCTCTTCCCATCGTTTGGCATTGAATGTGCTTGGAAGTGGATTACTAATTAAGGGATTATGACTAATTTTGCAAACAGACTTCCAGACTGTCTCATCAAATATCCTCCAACTAGCTGTGATAGTTTAACCCCTTAAGGACCAAACTTCTGTAATAAAAGGGAATCATGACATGTCACACATGTCATGTTTTCCTTAATGGGTTAAAGGATCACTATAGTCAACATATAAAAGCAAGAAAGACAGGTCCCCCAGCCTTCTTTCTTGCTTTTATATGAACTTCCCCCTAACAAAAATAAATCCGAGTCCTTTACCTCGGTTCTAGCGCCGAGCTTCCCTCCAGGCCACGCCCCCTTTTAAATCAAAATTACGAAATCGCAGGGCCCAATCAGACTCTTCTCTTTGAGAAGCGTCATTGCTCTCTGGTGCGCATGTGTGGTTCATTGAATGCCGCTCTATGAAAAAACTGAACGCTCTACCACGCATGTGCGCGGTATGCGTGTTCGCGCGCTGAGCTGACTGACAGCTCAGCTCGCTGTCTTTGCCCGCCCCCTCCTACAGCAACCCTCCTCCAAAGTAAGTATACAAACACTATATATAGAGAGATCTCTATATATAGTGTTAGTATAAAAACACACAGATTTTAAATAAATATTGTTAAAAACATAAACTCACACACTCCATATATCTCTATCTTTTTCTATCTATAGATCTATCTATCTATCTATCTCTCTCTCTCTCTCTCTCAGTCCCACTCGCCCACACTCTGTCACCCGCCCACACTCAGAATCACTCTCCAACCAACACTCAGTCACCAGCTTACACTGAAACATACACTGCCTCTGGAGAGGGAGACCGACTGTCTTCACTCCCAATAAATTGTCCTGCTGCTGGGGAGAGAGACTGATTGTCTCTGCTCCCTGTAAGACACACTGCTGCTGGGGGGAAAGGGCAACACCTTCGGCCCCCTAAGATGCATACTGCTGCTGGGGAGAGAGACCGGTTGTCTCCTCTCCCTGCAAGGTACACTGCCGCTAGGGAGGGAGGACGATGCTCTCCTTTCCCTGTGCCTCTGTCTGCCACTGTGGAGGGAGACCGGTTGTCTCTTCTCCCTGCAAGGTACACTGCCCCTGGGGAGGGAGGATGATGCTCTCCTTTCCCTGTAACTCACCTTGCCACTGGGAAAGGGGGTACGCTACTCTCCACTCCCTGCAAGGAACACTGCCGCTGGGGAGGATGATGCTCTCCTCTCCCTGTAACTCACCCTGCCGCTGGGGAGGGAGGACGATGCTCTCCTCTCCCTGTGACTCTGTCTGCCGCTGGGGAGAGAGACCGGTTGTCTCCTCTCCCTGAAAGATACACTGCCGCTGGAGAGGGAGCATGATGCTCTCCTCTCCCTGTAACTCACACTGTGGTTGGGATCTGGGCCGGCTACCCAGCATCCCTGTAGGGCCGGTAAAGAGATCTCGGTCCCATCTCCACCTGCTGGCTGGGGGTCTTCCCGGGACCCATCGATGAGGTCCTGGTACTCCCGCTCCAGATGCCATTCTTGGGTGACCAGATACCATAGGTCTGCCTCTAGGTCGACAGGGCTGATGAGAGATTGAGGTGGGATAAAGCAGCCAGTTTAAACTGGTCTGGCAGTGTCCCTGGGACAACGCCCTGCTGGAGAAACAATAGACAGGAAAAAGGGGGAGGGGAAGAGGCACATTTTTTCATGGAATTAAAGGGGCAGAAAAAGTGTGTTACAATCCAATATGCCCAAATAATGTTTTTAAAGGGCCATACACCCAGAGGCCTGAGGCAAAAGGTGAGCAACCAGGCCCCTCCAGAACCCAGTGGCGAGGTTCTTTTTGCCACAACTGTCTTTTCAGAGAAAATGTTTGCATTACAGCCTAAGTGTACCTCCACTGGCCACTCCTCCGATGGCTGCTAGCGGTTCTTCCTGGGGCAGTGCTGCCATTCAGTGTCTCCACCCTCTGCATGGAGACACTGAGCTTTCCTCATAGGGGTGCATTTATTTAATGCATTTCTATGAGGAGATACTGATTGGCCAGGGCGGCATTTGGCTGAGATCATCAGATCTCAGCCAATCCAATGCTTTCATATGGGAAGCCAAGGAGGCAGATTAGGGGCAGAGCCAGCACCAGCAGACTAGAATAAAGTTAAGATTTTACTATATTTAGAGGAAAGGGTGGGGGGGAGGGGGTCAGGAAGGCTAGATAGTGTTTTTATATAATACATGTTTGTGTTCCTGATCCCATAGTGTTCCTTTAAGGTGAATAAAATTAAATCCAAAGCTTTTATATTATTATATGTACTGTATTATTATATGTAATGTGCTCACGGTGCCTAGGGAGATATCGGCTATGCCTCACTGACGATGCCTAACAAGGCTGAAACGATCGTCTGGGGTTGCTGTATCTCTCGTGCAGAGAGAACTTGCTGGCATTTCGGATCTGGACTGCCCGTATGGGTGGGACCAGTCTGATATGCTTCAGATATGTTCTCTCTGTAATGGCACAAGATGAGCAAAAATCAGCTTGAGAACTGAGCGGGGACCGACCGAAGGGCAGGCTATTTCAGCTGCTGCCCGTTCTCAGTATTCTCTTGCGACCCATTTTTGACTCTCCACAATTTTAAAGGGATAATCCAGACGTGGACCCCTTGCTCACGGTGCCTAGGGTGATATCAGCTATGCCTCACTGATGATGCCTAACAAGGCTGAAACGATCGTCTGGGGTTGCTGTATCTCTCGTGCAGAAAGAACTTGCTGGCATTTCGGATCTGGACTGCCCGTATGGGTGGGACCAGTCTGATATGCTTCAGATATGTTCTCTCTGTAATGGCACAAGATGAGCAAAAATCAGCTTGAGAACTGAGCGGGGACCGACCAAAGGGCAGGCTATTTCAGCTACTGCCCGTTCTCAGTATTCTCTTGCGACCCATTTTTGACTCTCCACAAGTTTAAAGGGATAATCCAGACGTGGACCCCTTGCTCACAGTGCCTAGGGAGATATCAGCTATGACTCACTGATGATGCCTAACAAGGCTGAAACAATCGTCTGGGGTTGCTGTATCTCTCGTGCAGAGAACTTGCTGGCATTTCAGATCTGGACTGCCCGTATGGGTGGGATCAGTCTGATATGCTTCAGATATGTTCTCTCTGTAATGGCACAAGATGAGCAAAAATCAGCTTGAGAACTGAGCGGGGACCGACCGAAGGGCAGGCTATTTCAGCTGCTGCCCGTCCTCAGTATTCTCTTGCGACCCATTTTTGATTCTCCACAAGTTTAAAGGGATAATCCAGACGTGGACCCCTTGCTCACGGTGCCTAGGGAGATATCAGCTATGCCTCACTGATGATGCCTAATAAGGCTGAAACGATCATCTGGGGATGCTGTATCTCTTGTGCAGAGAGAACTTGCTGGCATTTTAGATCTGGACTGCCCGTATGGGTGGGACCAGTCTGATATGCTTCAGATATGTTCTCTCTGT